AAAACTGCTCTGGAAGCAAAAGGGATAACGTATAATCCCTGACCCACCCTTTCCTGACAAGCAGCCAATCGGTGCTCATTGCACTGCAAGGTCCCTCCCCTCCCTGCTAGTCCCCGGGTGCGGTGCTGGAGAGAGGCAGGGAGGGGAGGAGGAGATAAACAGCGCAATGTTAAAAATATTACACGTTTAAGTCGCCATAAAGCCTCTTTTGTTTTTAAAAGCCCCAGACATTCCTAAAATCATCTCCAATTTAAATACGGTTTTGGTTAATTTTTTCAATATTTTTATCTGGAAAAGTAGATTGGGGCCCTGATTTAGTCTCTGGACAAGTAGATTTTTCAAAAATTTCCACACTCCTGGTAGGGACTTTTTAAATTAAACAGTGTATGTTTAGAATCACTGTAAAATAACAAACATGTTATACTTACTTGCTCTGTGCAATGATATTGCACAGAGCAGCCACCTTTCTCATTTTCTGGTCCCCTGCTGGCGCTGTCAGCTCCTCCTCTTCTCTGGGTGCCTTCTCGGCAAGCTATGTGTTGAGGGGGCACACATGTGGGCATGCTGCCAAGCTAGACTATGTGCTTCCATAGACACAGTGTGGCTCGACCCTGTCCCCTGCTCCCTCCTCACAGGATTTGACTGGCAGCAGCAGGAGCCAACGACTTCCCCTGCTGTCAGTGAGTCCTGTGAAGCGAGGGAGAGAGTACAGCTCTGCTGCAGGCGGGCACGGTGCTGGATTGAGTTGGGCTCAAGTTGTTGTGGAGTAGGGGCAGGCCAGGGTAAAGTAGTGGGACATTTTTCCCTTAATGCAGAGAATGCATTAAGGTAAAAAGTGTCTTGACTTTAGAATCACTTTAATTTGTTAGTAAAGTCCATCCAAATATGATAGTGCATATAACACTACCCTCTACCTAGACTGGCAATGCTGCCATCCAGAAAGTGTGTTACTGGCTGGATAACTAGGTGAAAATAAATGAGAAGAAACTTAAAAAAAACCTAATGCAGCCATCACATCTTAAGAAAAAAAAAAAAGGGTAATCTGCAATATATTACTTTCTTATTTTTGGGTTTAATACCGATTTGTTAACCTAGAACAAGCATTAAGCCAGTTAAGTTAGAACTTGATCTGTGTTCATGTTCTGAATCAGCAGCAAGTTTTCCAGCCATTGAATTAGCATTGCAGCAAGGAAATTTAAATTGGAAAATGTGCTAACACACTATGATTTAAGTCCAATGAGTTGCATGCCACTTCCTGGACTTATCTAACTTACATCTGATATGTCGCTATACTCCTAGGGCTCTGATGGGAGAAATGCTGGATGAAAGGAGATGTAAACTGACATACAGTATGTCCCTTTACATCTGCCCGCCCAGATTATATTGTGGTTTTATTTGAATCTGACTGAAAAACTGACAGATGGATCCAGACTGAATGCCCATGTGAAATAGCTGTGAGATGGTTGCTGTCCACTATCTGTCTGTGGTGAAAGCTGTTCAAGTGTTTCCCTCGAACGGTCTGATGCTCTGTTTGTCATCCATGAGAGGTTCTGGAAGGACATGCTCCCTCCTGCTTCACTGTTACTAGGTGGATCAGGCAGCTCATTTTTGATGCTTACCAGCTTGAGGACAGTTTTCACCATTGTCTTTTTAGAGCACATGCCATAAGGTTGGTTAGTGCAGTTTAGGGTTTTTAGCATCAGACTTCTGTTTCTCAGATTTGTAAGGCTGTCATCTAATTCTCTGTGCATACCTTTGCTAGGTTCTACTGGTTGGTTGCTCAGGCCTCCTCTAATGCCAGTTTTGGCTGTAAGGTTCTCCAGGTGGTTCTGTGAGTTTTTTGAGCCACCTCTGTTAACATGTTGGCTATTGTAAGCCTGTTAGCCATTTGTTTGCTGGGCTGTTGCACTGCTCTGATTGGTTGTCAATATCAAATCTTCTAAAGGTAGCTGAATGACTCGGCATTTCTGACTATCCTCCTGTGTCCCCTAATGAACTCCAAGAAAAATATTTTGCTAGTCTTCAAAAATCCTGTTTCACAGAGTTCTCAATATAGGTATTACTGGAGAGCTGTGATGTGGGAGAGGTTCTAATAAATATACCAGCCAGTATCTGCACTATCATGCACAGGTGTTGTTGGATGGGAGGTACCTTAAAGTGATTCAAAAGGTAAATTTTTTTTTTTTTTTTTTTGTAAAATAAAAAACATGTCTATACTTACCTGCTGTGTGCAGTGATTTTCAACAGTGCAGCCTGGATCTTCCTCTTCTCAGGTCCCCCGCAGGCTCCCCTGGCTCCTCCTGTCTGTTGTTTGCTCCCACAGCAAGCAGCTTGCTATGGGGACACCTGCTGCTCCGTGCGTCCATTCACACATGGAGCCGCAACTTGGCCACGCCCCTCTCGTCATTGGCCGACTGGGTGTGATTAGCAGTAGTGGAAGCCAATAGCTCCCACTTGCTGTCTCAGCCACTGAGGAGGCAGAGACCCGGGACAGCCGAGGCTGTCGTGCACATCGCTGGATCTTGATGGGGCTCAGATAAGTATTGAGGGGGCTGGGGGCACTGCTGCACACAGGTTTTTTACCTTCATGCATAGAATGCATGGAGGTAAAAAAGCTTGAGCCTTTACAACCACTTTAAAGAGTGCATTCACCTCCTTGCTGTCACACGGGACTTTTCTGACCCTTATGACTGCAATAAAATTAAAAAAGAAATTCATAAAATTAAAGTGACATCAAAGACTTGTTTTGTTTTTTTTAATTAACCACTTGCCCTCCAGAGGATTTACCCCTTTTCCTGACCAGGCCATTTTATGTACTTTTTTCCCACAAATGGAGCTTTCTTTTGGTGGTATTTGATCGCCTGTGCAGTTTTTTTATTTTTTGCACTATAAACAAAAAAAAAACCCGACAATTTTGAAAACAAAACAGTATTTTTGACTTTGTTATAAAACATGTCCAGTAAAAAAAAAAAAAATCAAATTTCATCATAAATTTAAGCCAAAATGTATTCTGCTACAAAAAAATCCCAATACGTCTAAATTTATCGGTTTACGTGAAAGTTATAGCATCTAAAATGGCTTTATATATACTGGAATTTTAATTTTTTTATCCTAGTAATGGCGATGATCAGCGATTTATAGCGGGACTGCGGCGGGCATTCTGACACTGGGGGGAACGAACTGACATCCCCAGTGACGCTAATACAGTGATCAGTGCTAATAAAAAGCACTGACACTGTACTAATGACACTGGCAAGGAAGGGGTTAATATATGGGGCGATCAAAGGGTTAACTGTGTGCTGTTTTACTATTTTGTCTGTGTGTGCTTTACTGTATATGCAAGCTGCTTTGTATTGCTCTGCTATGCAGAACAATACAAATCAGCGTGCTGGTGCTGACAGGGGAGAGATCTGTTTTGTTTAAATATAGACCTCTCCTCTGTCACTGTTCCTCAGCGATCGCCGGGTGCCGGCGGGGTATCGCCAGCCGGGACCCGGTGATTGATATCTAGAGCTGCCAGTGGCGGCACGGGTTGGGCGGTGCGCGCCCCCTACCCTGAAATACAAAATCACGTATGTATGATTTTCTGCAGCCCTGCCACCCTGTAGCAGTACTTTTGCTATAGGGCGGTCAAGAATCCATTAACAAGCATGTTACACTTTTTTTGCACAGAGCAGCCCCGATCCTTCTTTTCTCATGTCCCCTGCTGTCGCTCCTGGCCCCTACCCCTTGCTCTGGGGGCACTCATGCAAGCTCACTCCCAAGCCACACTCTGTGTGACTATAAGACGCACAGTGCGTGGCTCAGCCCCGCCCCCTACTCACTCCCCACTAGCTGTGATTGACAGGTGGGAGCCATTGGCTCCTGCTCCTCTGTCTCCACTAATGAGGAGAGAGAGACCTGGGAGAGCAGACATAGCTAGATCAAGACATAGCTGGGCTCTGGTAAGAATTGGGGGGCTGTGGGGGAGTAGCACACAGGTTTTTTTATTTTCATGCACAGATTGCATGAAGGTAACCTTCAGCCTGTACGACAACTTTAAACATAGGTAGTATATAAAATGATAATTAAATTCATACATACAAAACCACACCTAATGAGGATGCATAGATATTCCCAGAGCGCTTTTGCAGTGCATGAAATGTCTTTGCACACATTAGAAGCTTAGCAATAGTTTCAGGGTGGAGTTTTAGTATAATGATGAATGGGTAATGTAAAAAAATGCTTTAGTGTAAATGGATTATGTACAGTTTTACATAGATGTTTAGATTTTTTGCAGTTTTACAAAAATGCACAATTTTAAACGTATGCTTATTTTTTTTTACTTTTTTTTTTTTTTTTTAATAAAATGTGCTCAGGTCTGATGCTATGGGTAAAATCAACAGTACCATCTTTTATTTCCACAGATTTCTGAGTTGAAAGGATACGTTTCCCTTTAACCAAAAAATAATAAATGCTTTTTTTTTTTTTTTGCAGGTAAAAAAATGGGCATTCACTATTTTTTGTTTTGGGAGCCTGGAAAGCATGGCACCAGCAATCCGCAGATTGCTGGTACCATGCAGGACTCCTGTACACCTGTCAGTGTATCTGAGTCCTCATGCAGTCAAACAGATACTCTGACAAGAAGAACGACTGAACTACCACAGCGCTCAACAGCTCCCTGGTAGTTCATTGAGAACTACAAGCTGACAGCCGCAAAATTGTGACAGCTAGCGGGGGAGAAGATCCCCCTCTAGCTGTCACAGTTGGGATTGGAGGAGGTGTGGAACGGGGACTGGTCCTCTCGTAACCTGAATATGGGTTGTGTAAGGTGAACTTATCTTATAAAAATAAGTTAACAAATGGTTAGAAAGTATGTTTTGCATGCCAGATATGAATCTGTTAAATTACAAAATTTGGTTTTGGCCATCTGAGGTGGGAAAGGAGAATTGGTGTCTAGCAGCTAAGTGATTGACCTGTACGTTAGTGCTATCTGACACATTTTTGTTGTCATTTCTTAGGTTTATGCATGGGAGATCTCGGACCAATTGTTACACATCCATCAGGATGTCGAGTCCTGCTATTTTGCTGCACAAACCATGAAGATGAAAATTCAAACTTCATTTTATGAGCTGCCTGCAGACTCCCATGCTTCCTTGCGGGACTCCTTGTTGTCACATATCCAGAACTTGAAGGACTTGTCTCCTGTTATTGTAACTCAGGTAAGATGTGCTTTGTTGTAGTACTATTGCATATATAGACTGTGAAAAGGCGTAATGTGAAAATGACTTTTCATTTAAAAATACTAAGTTTGTCGATGACAAAATGGGCACTATCACAGAAAACCTCACAATTAGTTAATTGCAGAAAAACACATTAAAGTGTCTGATTAGTTGACTTAAACAGTAAATCTGACAGACAATTGTCTAAGAATTCCCCTCTCACTTGTGTCTGCTGACTGTGTAGACTTGTATTTTTTGCACCGACAGCAAAAAATACAAGTCTACACAATCAGCAACAACTTATCAAATCTTACTGTTTAAGCATGCTGCTTTGTATTGCTCTGCATAGCGGCATGTTGGTGCTGACAGGGGAGAGACCTGTATTTACATACAGACCTCTCCCCTGTCAGTGTTCCTTGGTGATCGCCGGGTGCCAGTGGGGAATCTCTGGTTGGGACCCGTGATCGTCAGCAGCAGGCAGCTAGGACGGCATGTGCACAATCACACACACACACACGATTTTGCGCAGCCCTGTAGCAGTAGTTCTGCTATAGGGCGGTAGGGAAGTGGTTAAAAAAAGATTGAAGTACCCTTTTCCTAATCGATGTATAGCTGTCACATGACCCAGCTCTTTTCCAGCTTGTCTGCAGGGAAACATAGGCAGGGGTAGCTTCAATCCTCTGATTCTGGCCACATGTTCAAAACAAAAAAATCAACAACCTTTGTCATATAGAGTAAAAATAAGTATATAAAGCTGATCGCCACCTTTTGATATGCTTTACAGCTTGGCTCAGACGAATTATGTCCCTCACTAACATGTTAGGCCGCTGCATGTGCGGTATAAACTGTATGCAGCTACAGCTACTTCCAGTATCAGACCCGTAACACAGTAGAGTCTATCACAACGGTGCTCAGCCATTCAGAGAAAGCAATGTATTCCATCGATTTAATACAAAGCTCCCTTTGATTGGCAGAGTCAGAGGTTGTGACATCATCAGCCTGCTCGCCCATGCAAATAGTGCCTAAAGCTGGCCACAATTTTCTTGTTAAATTTCCATTAGATTTTTCTTCAACTTTGTAGTGTAAGGGCCCGCTTGATTACATACAAATTGAAAGTGTTTTAGGTTTGACCTCATATTATATGGTTTTGGTAAATCTAAAGAAAAATTGTTCAAGTAAATTGAATAATGTATGGCCAACCTAAAGGAATGTGTACTGTGATGTTAATTTTATAGTTGTTGAAGGGAAGAGCAATGCATAAGATACAGTGGTTATAAAAAATCTACACACCCCTGTTAAAATGTCAGGTTTTTGTGATGTAAAACAATGAGACAAAGATAAATAATTTCAGAACTTTTTCCACCTTTTAATGTAACCTATAAACTGTACAACTCAGTTGAACAACAAACTGAAATCCTTTAGGTGGAGGGTAGTAAAAATAAAAAACTAAAATAATATGGTTGCATAAGTGTGCACACCCTTAAACCGATACTTTTGTTGAAGCATCTTTTGATTTTATTGCAGCACTCTTTTTGGGTATGAGCTTATCAGCATGACTTGGCAATATTTGCCCACTCTTCCTTTCAAAAATACTCAAAATCTGTCAGATTGTGAGGGCATCTCCTGTGCACAGCCCTCTTCAGATCACCCCACAGATTTTCGATCAGATTCAGGTCTGGGCTCTGGCTGGGCCATTCCAAAACTTTAATCTTCTTCTGGTGAAGCCATTCCTTTGTTGATTTGGATGTATGCTTTGGGTCTTTGCCATTCTGAAAGATGAAGTTCCTCTTCATATTCAGCTTTCTAGCAGAAGCCTGAAGGTTTTGTGCCAATATTGACTGGTATTTGGAACTGTTCATAATTCCCTCTACTTTGACTAAGGCCCCAGTTCCAGCTGAAGAAAAACAGCCCCAAAGCATGATACTGCAACCACCATGCTTCACTGTGGGTATGGTGTTCTTTTGGTGATGTGCAGTGTTGTTTTTTGCGCCAAACATATCTTTTGGAATTAGAGGAAACTGCATATATTTTTGTACATACTTCCTTACTACATTTATACACTTATCCCAGCGTTTAATGCCTGGAAAGCTTCGACACAGAAGGATTTGTCAGTGTGCCTGAACTATTGTAGAACAGTCTGCTTCGCTTCGTTTCTTCTCATTGTGTTCACCTTTTCCCACAGACAGATTTGTTTCTTGTGCAATTTCACAACAGGTTATGTGCCGATTATCCAGGATCAGGCATTCCCACATGCTGAATGTTCACAGGAAAGTTTGCTGTAGACTGGGAACCACCACTGCCGGGATTGTGACTGATGGACGTACGGCCATATTTGAAACATATACACCATTCAAATGTGGCTGAGCGTCTGTAGATATCTGCAGGTTTTATGCCTTTGTTTACAAGAAACGTAATCACCACGCACACACACTGTTGTCTGCCATCTTAATTAACGGTCTCTGAGCTGGCCTATGACGTGCACCGCCTATCAGTAATAGGAAACACTTGCCACTTACTACTGCATGTAGTGCCACCATGCTAACCTCCATTTTTACGAACGCCCCTTGTTTTAATATTAATATCTATGTATATCTATCCGTGCATGCATAAAGAGATTTATAAAAGTGTGGCTGTGATCAGGATCTGTAGGTGTGCAACATATCACTTACAAAGGTTTTACCGAAAATTCTTTTTGCTTTGTAGCTGGCTTTAGCAATAGCAGATCTTGCCCTGCAGATGGCTTCCTGGAAAGGCTGTGTACAAACGCTTGTAGAAACGTAAGTACTTACACGTATGCCTAACCTCCCAGTCTTGTCTCTGTGTTTGGTGTCACGTGTCGCTTTGTTTGTTGGGTTGGTGATTGTATATTACATTTCCTCTCTTTTTGATGCTTTGTTTTTTCTTATAGCTATGGTAATGACCCATCATCATTATCCTTCCTCTTGGAGATTCTTACTGTGCTACCAGAGGAAGTTCATAGCCGATCTCTGCGTATTGGTGCTAACCGGCGATCTGAGATCATTGAGGACTTGGCCTATTATTCTAGTACTGTAGTGTCTCTACTGGTAAGAATCTGTGAAAATCCTTTTGCAGTTTAATTGTTGGCTATTTGTTTTATTCTGACCATGGATTATATATGTACAGATCTCTGCAGTTGAGTAGCCACTAGCCATGCTCCTTCTTCATTTACATTCTATGGCAATCTGAGAGTTAACCCCTCTCCACTGCCTTTTTTTGTAGAAATGTTATTGCTGACATGACCAGCCACCCCACTAATGTGGGAGAACTTCCTGGTTCAGAGCTTTTAAATCCTTGCCCTCTGTGGATTAGTAAAAAGCAGTTTGGTAGTTTTCTGTCCCTGATCTGCTTGGCCTCTGTGCAGGGAAGGTATAAGGAACCTGTCACTGCACAGTAATAACACGTTGGTCCCCTTGTGATAATAAAATTAAGCAAAAATACTGCTTTAAGTAATTAAATTTAGAAATCATTTAGAGAGGCCCACGCACCTATGTAAACACCTGCGAACCTAGGAGGCACGCGCATACATAAATGCAGATCGTATGGCACACCTTGGGTATGGCCTCAGATCCAAGAGTAAATGGAGAATTTGAAGGCCATCCTACAGTATTTAATACCGTGCCATGTCCCAATGTGTGTGTTTTTGTTTTTTCTCAGCTATAGTGCTGCTTTCTGTTCAAAACACATACCCCCACAGTGAAACCAGCGTTGTATTGCTGCAATCCGCTGTTCAGGTTACATACACCGGGTCGCACATGCTACAATCTTGGTCCTCTTCAGCTGACTGCTTCTTCTGCGTACAAACAGCCAGCTACTGATTATGCATTGGGCCTGCCCCCTGGCTTTTCTGTGTGCTCAGTCATGCAGCCTCCTGAGAGCAGATTTAACTTCTGCGTTTAACTCTAAATTGATGAGCTGAAAAGATTTTTAAAACCTTCATCTATGTACAGTTTTGGGCATTGTTTTGTTTAGCTATTTCCTGTGCACATACGATTTTGAGTCCTAACATATATTGACATTTATTTATCCCACACAGTCTCATTGTAAACCGGAGATTATCTTGTGTTTGTGTGCACTAAAATTTTAATTTGAATGTATTTGCAACTGAACTTTTCAAAAAACAGTTTTTTATTTTACAGGTCCTCTGCTTATATAAATATATAAATCTTATTTGGGGTGATAACTACATTCTCATGCCTGCAATGTGTGTTTTAGCATGTGTATGAAAAATAGAAACATTGGCCTAACTGTGAAAGGGTTACCAGTAATGTATATAATTGTGTATTGTCCTTATTTTTTTTCAAGATGAATTGTGTGGAGAAGGCAATGGACAATGAAAAGATGCTGATAAAGACATTCAGATGTTTAGGCAGCTGGTTTAACTTGGGGGTCCTAGACAGCAACTTCATGGCTAACAACCGTCTCTTGATGCTGCTCTTCCAGGTCCTGGTAAGTTAAAGATGAATTGAACTCTAGAAGCTGTGTCTAAAAAGGAGCAGACAGAGGGAAAAGGACACATCACCAAAATTGCCTGTGATTCCCCTGCAGCTGTTTTTTCCCTCATTACTGACTTACCATTGTTTGTACTGCACTATCTGTGGTGGCAGCCATCTTGGGCGAGGCAGGGTCTTCTAGGCAGCTTTTTGCTTCCACTTATCAGAGCCTCCAGAAATGCGAATGGCAAGCCGCAGGATAGTGACATTACCAAATCTCTCTCCAGATTGCCTGAGACTACCAGCCAGATCTCACACTGCAGATAAACAGAAGTGCCGTGGCACCCCTTATCAGGAAATGCAAGGCTAATTTTTAGAAGGAAACCAAGACAAAGGGTACACTATTCAGGGTACTGCTTAGGCACAATTAAAACGTATTAATGTTCCCTAGACCATAGCAAATCTTTACTTTTTGAGTTCAGCTCCAGTTGTCTGCATATTGCACCACCCAAAAAAATGTAACTTCTCTTCTCTCTATTCTTTGCACTGTAATTGCTTTGTTTAGCTCAGCACAGTATTTTTAGGTATACTATATCTTAGCCCTAGGGAAATGCTGTTTTTGGACCTTTTGTATAGGTAGCTTCCAAACTTGGGCTCCCTGATTTCTAAGAGGTGCCCTGTTTGTGTTTAAGGGCAGCATCATCAAAACATTGCTCCCCATGAGGGTTTGTTTGATCTCCTTAACACATGATCCATTGCTAAGTCAAGTCCAGGCTCAGTTATTGCAGTTTATTTGCTCTTCTTGGGAAGCTCTCCAAAGTTGTAGAATGCTGCAGAACTTTTTTTTGATTGATTTATTTATTGAGCTGATTTTAACATCTATTTCAGCTACGTTTATGATATGATACTTTTAAGCACGTGTATATATGTTGGTCTGTAGTGACACTTTCATTGTAACATCTATGGCTTTATCATATTTTTATGGGTTTGATTTTGTTTTATCCGTTGACCGTATTTGCTATTGTGGATTATTATAATCAGAGGGGGAGTGGGGATGGGCGTGCCAGGACAAGTCTGATCATTGGAGGAGAGCAGACTGAGTTCCTAGCACAGCTAGAGAACACAGTATATTCTTCTGCTTAGTGTGGTCAGTTTTTAATAGGAAAGCAGATGGACTGGCAAGAACACTGGGGATTTTACACAAAGAAAGCAATACAAAGAGAACAGGATACTTTTACATACAAGTGCATGGTACAGCAGGCACATATCAGGTACATGAAATGTTGGGCTTATATATTCTTTAATACGCTTAGTTTTGCTGTGCGCTAAAACCTCAGCATTGTCGTGCTTGATGCTCTTCTGTCTGTATAAAGAGACCTGCTAAATTTGAAAATACATTTTCCCTGAATGAATAAATAGAATGGGCAATCTCTTATGATTGGCTAAATTCATGAAGGCTTTCACCCCTCCAAGGATCATTACCGAGCTCTATCCAGTGGAAAACAAGAGTTCACAAAAAAGTGGTCTGTTCCTGTCGTATACCTTGACTTCTCAGTCTTAAAGTGATTCTAAATCTTGACAGTAGTGCTACAATGATGGAGCAGCCATTGAGTAACATGTAAACCGCTTTATATTTAATCAATAAATACTATTTTTCATTTTATTTAAAGTGGGTTATGTGAAATATTTTCTTTCTTTTTTTTTTTTTTCAGCACTACCCGAGTGGGTCCAGTGATTTCACCTCCGTTGTTTCCAGCCCTCCCCCAGGCCGCTCAAAGCAGAGTGGAGCTGTCTGTCAAGGATCTCATCCACCCACCAGTGCTTTGGAAAAGATCAGATCCTTCACTGACAGCTCCAGTCCACTTTGCAATGCCTGGAGTAGGGCCTGAAACAGCGAGGGATGTCGCAGGGCATTGGGTTAGAACCCACTTCCAATCCTGGGCCATAGTAAGCTAGGGGATTTCCTCTACAGTAAGTCATGTGGTGTGGCAACTTTGCAGAGGCTCTGTGAGCCCACAGATCATTGCCACCACCACCAATGAGCTATTTGTGACCAGTAGGTTAGCCAAAGAACATATACATAAGTAAAGATTTTAGCCCTAAACACATGGCACAAAATCATTATAATTATTACAAAGGGGTTTTTTTCTCCTTTGGTTTAGTGACACTTAAACATCTTACTATATCTATAGAAGATGTTCCTTCATTCAAACATCCTGCTGACAGGAAGTTTGAGACACTCTTAAAGTGGTACTGCAAGCTTATTTTTTCTAAAATAACAAGCATGTTGTACTTACCTGCTCTGTGCAATGGTATTTCAAACAGCTCTTCTGGGATCCCCCACCTGCACTCTCGGCTCCTCTTGTTCTGCATCTTCCCCCATAACAAGCCACTTGCTATGGGGGCAGATGTAAGGGCTCAATCCTGAGCTGAGCTGTGTGCATCTATTGACGTACACAGTGCTGCTTGGCCCCACCCCTTCACTGAATTTGACTGACAACAGCAGGAGCCAATGGCTCCCACTAATGCCTGTAAGTCCATGTGTGAAGGAGAGAGGACTGCAGCCAAGTATTCGCCCTATCCTGGTCCAAAATCCCTAAGCAAATACCCTCAGATTCCAAAATTTTGTATGGAATTTCCAGTATCAGTTATTGCCTCTCTGAGACAAAGGGAATATGTGGCAACTGTAGACATGCACGATCGCTGTCTGCATATTCCCATCTATCCACTCAATCAGCACTTTCTTCCCTTTGCAGCAGGAGACAATTACTTCTAGTTTGTTGTTCTGCTTTTTGTCTTACCCTTTGCTTTCACAGTATCCACAAAGATACTTCCGCCTCTAAGAACTTCATCCAGGTCACAGGTTATCTAGAGGATCTTCTTCTGAAGATCCTCTGCAACCTTCTCTTATTCTGCAACCATCTCTTATTCTGCAACCATCTCTTATTCTTCAGCCTACTCTTTGCCTGGAGTACTTGGCCTAATTCTAGACACAGCCCAAGCAAAAGTCTTCTTTCCAGAATACAAATTGCTGTCTCTTAGAGTTTGTGCAAATCAAAGGAATGTCCCTGACATTCTTCATGAGAGTTCTGAACCTCATGGTGGATTCCTTTTGAAGCTGTACCATTCCTCAATTTCATTTGAGCATTCTCCCAACAAAATCTAGCTAGCATGAAATAAACATCCTCCTTCTCTTGACTTGCCCATGCTCCTATACAGTTAAGCACGGTACTCCCTAGCTTGGTGGGTTTCCAACCCAGCCTTGACAAAGTAATTTCTGCTACATCACTGAAAGGTGATAACAGATACCAGTCTTTGACTGGTTAGGAGTGTTCCAATCCCTCATAGTCCAGGGAACATGGTCACCAAAAAGAGCCAAGCTTCCTTTTAAGCATCTTGAAGCTTACAGCTACCAAAATGCCTCTGCACCACTGGACCCCACTTCTTCAGCAACACCCAATCAGGGTGCAGTGGGACCATACCACAGCTATGGCCTATACAGTCACCAAGGAGGCACCAGGAGTCCTGAACTTTTGAAGGAAGCAAGCCAGATCATCGAGCATCCCACTGTCCTGTAATCTCTGTCCACATTCCCAGGGTGGACGACTGGAAGATGTATTACTTCATCTGTCACCATCTGGACCAAGCAGGATGGGCCCTTCAACCCAACATCTTCAGCCTGATCTGAATGAGGTGGGGGACTTCCCTAAACTCAGTTCAGGTCAATCTGTGCCTTGCCTTCAATGCAAATTCTGCCTGAACTGCTCTTCAATATTTTCCTTCTTTTGACCACGCTGGGAAGTCTAAAAGTTCCCAGCACTTCTTTTGAGTATGTTGTTCTCAAGGTTCTTGCAGTAGCACTCTGCTTCTTGGTACTGTTTTGTTTTGCCTAGTTGTTGCCCACCCTCTTATCAATTGATTGGATATGTCCCAGAGTCTGTGCCTGTACAGTATGATTAAGATAAAAGGAATTTTGACTAACCTGTAAATTTCATATCTTTGAGTGCAGGATACAGACCACCATCTCTTCTAATCTTACTCTGCATTGCTTGCTACTACAAAACTAACGACTCTCAGCATGAGATAGTTATAGGGAGATGCCCAGAGAGCGTGTCCTTGAAAGCTTTGCCAGTGTCCAATCCACCTGAAAGTACCAGCCTTTTAGCCCCCAGGGTCTATGAATATCAAACCCATGTCCTGTACTGTACTAAGTCTAAATTCCTTTTCTTTCTGATATATTCAAAATCTATAACTTTCAAGTTAAACTGCCTCCTTACAGGACCCTACAAAACTGTATTTCCGCCCAGGATAATTCCTCCCATTCCCAGCTTGCCTCAGGTTTTTCTTGTGTCCTTGGAGGATGGACATATTCTTCAGCTTTGCTAGCCTATTTTTGCAAAAGCTTTTCCTTCAAATTCTTCTATAATTATCTTTCTCAGTCTCACTGCTGGAGCACTGTCTCTTCAATTGCAGCTATTTAGTACATTCATTTACAGCTTGGCTTTTGGAGTACTGTATCTGAACCCCGCCTTACTGGACTTTTGGGGATAAGTGACCACTGGACACTGGGTTTGTTTTGTGTGCTTTCCATATTCCATTCTGGTTACCTTTTCTGTTTTTGTTTGTTTTGTTTGTTTTTTCTTCTTGGGATTGTTAAAGTGGCAGTAAACTCTTATCTTAGGTTGTACCTACTTGTAAGCTTACAATAAGGCTTAACTGTAGATACAATGAATATCTCCTAAACTTGCACTGTTTAGGAGATATTCACATTGGCAAAAGCCTATGATGATACACGCACATGTGCAGTGACTCTATACATTCAGGACACACAGTATGCCGTTGAATGAAGAGCGCCATGCCGCATTCAGATGGCCAGAGCCCGTGAACCCGGAAGGAAGACGGGGTGGAGATGTTGGAGGGCTCCATGTACAGGTAAGGATCTCATAATGTGCTAATGTGAGATGCAACTTATATGGAATCAGGGAAAATAACAGGGCTCATGGCAGCGGTCTCCTTCATATGCAGATCTAAGCAGGTAAGTGGCTGTGATCAGTCCTCTTCTGATGGGCTGTTCCCCATCTACCCCCTTCTCCCCTCCTGTCCATCCCAGGTGATGTCACATACAAGCCCAGGACAGGAGTGGAGGAGGGATAGGCGGGGAACAGCTCTCCACAGCTAGCATGATTTCACCCGCTTACCTGCGTAGATCTGCATGTGTTAGTAGAGGGTATGCCATCTACCCGTCAGTTGCCTGTGACCGACTAGAAGATCGCGGCAAAACCCTCTTTTGAGAAACCCTGCTTTGCCTTTTTAAAGAATTCATTTTGACTTGTTAGGCTCTAAATTGTCAGATTCCTGAAATAAAAAGTTTTCTAAAAATGTTTTAAACTACTGGTTTATGTTGTCACATATAAGGTGTATGCAATCTGCAATGTACTAAATCTAAGCCCTTTTTTTTGTTTGTTTTAGCAACAGGACCAAACATCGTCCAATTTACATGAAGCTGCATCTGACTGTGTGTGTTCTGCACTCTATGCCATTGAAAATGTTGAGACTCACCTTAACCTAGGAACACAGCTATTCCAGGGTGTACTTACACTTGAAGTTGCCTATCACATGGCAGTGGCACGAGAAGACATGGACAAGTAAGAATTCATTAAAACTTATAGTTGGCAAGCTTGAATAAAGAAACAGATCCAGCGAGATCAACGTGTGTGTGTGTGTGCGCGCACATGACGCATATTGTTTTCAGTGAGAAACTTATCAACGTTTTTTGAAGATATTTACACTCTCTGCTGAAACCACTATGCAAGAGAGTTCACATCTTTACTGCCCTAACAGTAAATGACCCCAATGCAGGGTTAAAATGCTTCTCCTCCAGTTTCATTGTGTGACTGGATGTCTTTTTCAGAGACCTTTGATTAAACAGTAGGTTTTTTTTTCCCCGTTACTGCTGTCACCATTAAAAGATGTGTATATGGCAATCATATCCCCTTTTAAGTGCCGCTTCCTCCAGGGAGAATACATTAAATCTGTGTATTTGGTCCTCAAATTTGAGGTCTTCCAGCCCCCTTATTATAACCCCAATTCCAAAAAAGTTAGGCCGCTGTGTAAAATCTTCATAAAAACAGACTGCATTGATTTGCAGATCTAAAACTATATCTTATTCATAATAGAAAATAGCATATCAAATGTTTTTAAACTGAGGAAATCTTGAAATTGATGGCAGCAACACATCTCAAAAAAGTTGGGACAGAGTAATAAAAAAGATGGCAAAGTAAGTGGAAGGATGTTGCACTTCTGAATTCAGAACAGAGTTGCCACTCTCATGTAGGGCCTGCTGGCTTGCACTATTTGGGATAAAAAAAAAAAAAAAAATGTTCAGGGGGCGTGGCTATCAGCATTTGCACTGCTGACTCTTAAACCTGTAGCCTGTCCATCATCACCAGGTCACACCTACCTAGTCATGCCCACTGTTTTCAGGATTGACATGACTGCCTCTGTTACTGAACTCATTCTGTGAGCTGCAGTGTCTGATTGGGAAAATGTGTAATGCATTAAAGCGGTAGTAAACTCGGTTGGGGGGAACAAAAACTTTTCCTCCTGCAAGGCAGTATTGTAATGTGCTAGTATGCATTGCAAACTAGTACGTACATTATGTAAAACGTACCTAAGAACAAAGCCCTCCAGTGGCGCACTGTCCCCGCTGACAGGGCTTCCATTTCACCCAGTCTTCCTTCTGGGTTTGCGGGCTTCTGTCCTTTTGGATGAGCCGTGATGACATCACTAGTGCGCATGCACACGGGAGTCACTGTTTACGGCACAGGTTTCTGAAGGGGTATGCTGTTCCTTCAGACCGCATGCACTGGAGAAGTCCCCGGAGGCTTCACAAGTAAATGTCTCCTAAACTGTGCACGTTGAAGAGATATTTACAGTACGTACAAGTAAGACTTATTGTAGGCTTAGGTAAAAGATAAAAAGCATTTACTACCACTTTAAGTCAGGGCTCAGTCAGGAAGGGTAAAGGACGTTTTTCTGAATACTTTCAGGCTTGTGCATCATATAGTAACTGGATTTAGTGCTTAAACTGTTATACAGGAGCCTTCTAGTTGTGCTTTAATAGTGCTCTCTCACTACCAGGTTGGACCAGAGCTTTGTCTATTCAGAACAGCTTGGTGTTCAGCCTTGGCAGAGATGCTTGGAGCTGATGTATGCAAGGCAAATGCCCACAATCTATACCTTCCAGCAGCTTTTTTTTTAATTTTTATTTTATTTACTAATGATGATTTCCAGACTCTGGTAAATTAAAGTGTTACTAAACCCACAACAGTAAAATCAGTCTGTATCTGCAGTAAAGCATGCTTGTTATATTCACTGTAGAACCTAAGGGGTTAATCCTCCGCATTGTGTAAAAAGGAATGTTTGATCCTGTCTCCTCTGAGCCTCCCCTCCTTCTACTGTCCCCAATCCATTTCCTGATATAACAGAGCCTTGGGGGCAAGCTGCATATGCTCAGTTTGGTGTGCAATGCTTCCAGCAGTTTTTTTTGGGGGGGGGGGTTACATGTGATGAGCACAGGGCCAATCAGCGCTGTCCAAACAGAGAGTCAGGGGTCCTGTAGCCTCATAGGACATTCAAGGGAGTATGAAAACTCCTACAAGCTTTAACCAGTGCTCTGCTGGACACTGATAGAAGTCACATGACTGCTCTAACTGCTGATGAATAAAGGTATTTAGCAGCTTATATTTACTAAACTAATTGCATTTCCATGTTCTGTGTACTGTGGGAAACCAGATATAGTGAATGCAGGGTCCTGGGTTTAATACCACTTTAAAGGATAACGAAACCTCAAAACAAAACTGTATGTTGCCAAAAACTTTCAGATACCACTCGAAATGTATGAAGTGTAAGTACTTTCAGGTAATTTCAAAGCTTGCCAACTTCCTTTTACCTTCCACACATTCCTGTTGGCCCATATCAGTTTTTACATCTTCTCATTAGAATGAATGTACTTACAAACCTAGTGTGTGTAGTTGTGTATGACAGTGTAAGATAACTTGCATAGTTTGTGACCTAATGGGCAGCTATATTATATTTCAAGCTTTTGTACCAACATCTAAAAATAATACCTAATGCAATTTTCACTTGTTAAAGTGGTTATAAATGCTTAGCCCAGGTTCACATATATGTGGTGCGGTACATCGCATGTTATTCGCACATGAACTGCACCTTATTCCTGTGCAAATCACATGCGATTTGTGTGCGGAGCGATCGGAGCCATACATTTTGTATGGCTCTAATTGTACCGCACCTGCACCAAAAAGGTACAGGACCCTTTTTTTGGTCCACACTAGAATCTGATTGAATGGGTATTCACACGTATGCGATCCGATTCTGCACATTGCACCGCGGTTTGTGGACCGATTTCGGGGTGTTGTTAACTTAACCACTTCAAGTCCGGACACTTTCACCCCCTTCCTGTCCAGGCCAATTTTCAGCTTTCAGTGCTATCACACTTTGAATGACAATTACGTGGTCATGCAACACTGTACCCATATGAATATTTTTTTGAGACAGATAAAAATATTTTTTGGTGGTATTTATTCACCACTGGGATTTTTATTTATTTGCTACATAAATGAAAAAGTCCAAATGTTTTGGAAAAAAAAAAGTTTTTTTTCTTATAAAAGTTTGCAAATAAATAATCTTCATAAATCTTGGCCAAAATGTATTCATCTATCTTTTTAGTAAAAACAAAAATAACCCAAATTTAGTGTATAACCAAAAATATATAATTGGCCAATCAGTGATCACATGAATCGGAACCTCACACAGAGGTCCTGTACAGCGATCGGTGGATCGTGGTGCCGCGCTCTCCCAGGGAGGTCGTACAGGCAATGAATGCAGGGGCCGTTTATAAACGCCACCTGCTCCTGAACTGCTCCTGTCAGGCCGTTTTATGTACATGGGCCAGATGGGAAGTAGTTAACATACACACCCACAGCGATTTGCATGAACGGGATGCGATTCTGATGCGGTGCCGACTTCGCACAGTAAACTCTGCAAAATCCAGACCATTTCAGTGTGAACCCAGGCTAAAGGGTTTTTTTTTAATTTAATTTTAATGCATTCTTTTGCGTTAACCACTTCCCGACCGGCCGTTGTATATAAACGGCCGGACGGTGGCACTGCAGGGTCGGGTGGCCGTTTATAAACTGCCTCCCCACACCCTGCTTGTGCGCGCTTCCCCGGGAGCGCGCAGCACCGTGACCCAGTGCCCGCTGTGTCCTCTGGACACACCGATCGTCAGTCGGGAGGTCCCGATCATGTGATCACTGATTGGCCAATCAGTGATCACATGCAAAGAAGTAAGCAAGATCTCTCTTCTGACATCATTGCTTACTACGTGTGAAATCTGTGAATGATCACAGAGGTCACATGGTACAAGGCTATTCACAACAGCCTTGTACCATGTAACAAGCTGTGACCAATCACAGCTCACTCAGTAGTTCTCAATGGCTGCAAGAATGCAGACAGAGAGAAAGAGAAATGATTGCTTTTACATCCTATATGGGTGTAAAAGCAGTGTAAAAAAACAAAAAAAAACAAATCTTCATCACCCCCCAAAAGTAGTACAGTGTCACCATGGTGACACTGTACTGCTAGGGTGACCGTATGTAAAAAAAAAATGTTTAAAAATTATAATTTTTAGTTATAAACTAATTTGGCTTTTTTTTTTTTTTTTTTTTTTTTTTTTATAACTAAAAAGATAACAGAATAAATTTTGGCCAAGATTTATGATGAAATATTATTTGTTTGCAAAATTTTATAAAGAAAAACACTTTTTTTCAAAATTTTTGGACATTTTCATTTACATAGCAAAAAAAAATTTAAAATCCCAGTGGTGAATAAATACCACCAAAATAAAGTTTTTATCTGTCTCAAAAAAAATGGTAAATTCATGTGGGTACAGTGTTGCATGACTGCGGAATTGTCATTCAAAGTGTGACAGCACTGAAAGCTGAAAATTGCCCTGGTCAGGAAGGGGGTAAAAGTGTCCGGACTGGAAGTGGTTAAAGAGGAGCTACAGTCTCCATTCAGTAATTGCATGAAATACACCCATGGAATGCCTAGTGGCCAGTTTGTCAGAATAGGCTATTAATTTTGATTTAAAAGTGTTTGCATGTTAAATTTGTTCCTAAATACGTCAGATCCACAGTGAGCCGGCGGCAATTTTATGTAAGGGCACCTGATGCCGGCGCCCACTCTCTCCTGGGATTTGTTGCAGCTGGCTACCTAACATGCACCTCTAGTTCTCACGCCTGCACACTACGCGGCTCAAACACTTTGCTGAGGATACCCAAAGACTTCTGGGATTGATGTCACCATTATCCTAGGAATCAATGGGATGTCAAACGCCTAGGCAGCCGAATTTGGAAGCCGCAAGAAGATTAAAATAAATATATTTCTGCTGGGAAAAAAATCCTAAAAAGTATGTTAACATAAGATAACATTGCCTGATTATTAACCATAGACAAAGTTGAAAAAGAGGGTGAAGATCCGCTTTAAGATAAGACCTTCCTAGGTTAGCTCCTCCCCAGCCCCCCCAAAATACTTACCTGAGCCCATTCTCAATCCAGTACAG